AAAAATAAGACTAAACCCCAGCTTTGAATATTATAAAATATGGGGAAAATAAGAAATCTCACACTGTTACACAAATAATTATTGTATATTTCTAGTCCTTGAATAAACTAAACAAAGGGTCCAAAATCTCTAAAATTAGATCAACTTATAATATGAAGAATTAAACAGGGTGGTTTTACAGATAAAATGACTGATAAATGGAAAATCAGTAAAGTCCTTGTCAATCTGTTACACTGATTTAACAGAGAAAAAATTGAATTAAGGAATAAGGTGCAGAAGAAAATTTAGAGTCTCAAAGTAGAATAAAATATTAGCTTATAAAAAATCCTTCTTACACATTAAATAAGAAAACACTGTATCCACTCACTTGCACATACCCTACAATTGTGATGAAGAGCAGCTCACCCTTGAAGGACTGACGTTACCTCTTTCATCTCCCAGAAAGTTCACTAGTGAGGTTTGCTCACTACCTTCATGTCCTGGCTTCAGGAGTAACAGTTATTTTTCTCCTTAGTAGCTGGTGCAGTGCTGTGTTTTCAACCTTAGCCTGAGAGCAATGCTGACAACATCACTTGGGGTTTTGGTTTGTTGGTTTTTTCTTTTTCCTTTTCCCCATTTAGTTTTACATTCTCTTGCCTTGTAATTTCCCTTATCAAACCCAGCTGGGCTTAAACCACAAGTGATGCACAGTACGGCTCAACACCCATCAACCAATACCCACCCCGACCTGAGCAGCAATCTCAGCCTTCCAAGTAACTCCCCCTCTGTTTATATACTGGGCATGATGTGCTGTGGTATGGAGTACCCCTTTGGTTAGCTTGTGTCAGGTGTCCTGTCCCTCTTCCTCCTGGCTTCCTGTGCCCCTCCTCACTGGCAGAGCATGAGACTGAGAAAGCCCTTGATTAGAGTAAACATTACTTAGCAACAGCTAAAAAAATCGATGTTATCAGTGTTGTTCCCAAGCTGAAAGTCAAAAACACAGCACTGCACTGGCTGCTAAGAAGAAGAAAAATGACTGCTACTGCTGAACCCAGGACACTTCACCAGGAGCAAGCCTCATGTATGTCAAGAAACGCTTGCTACAGTTCTTGAAGGATTCTGTGTTGAGGAACTTCCAAGATAGGCATTTGCGTCCTTACAGTGAAATACCTTGCTTCAGGAGAAGGCAATTATTCTAGAGGCAGAAACAACCCATTTTCATCTTATTCATAAGCAAGTTACTTTATGCTTTGTCAGAACAGACACATTGTGGAGATGGGACCAAGACTGGCCAAAGAGCTATCTGCTGCCATTCACTCTCTCCTACTACATGTGGCAGACTCACATGAAGTCTGCCATCTATCTCTAGATATTTCTATTAGATCGCTCTGCATATTCTAACTCCTTTCTTGTCCCTAAATTATTATACTCTTTTATAATTGAGCATAATTTCTTTTGTAAGCTTACTAGTTTTACAGAACTAGCCATAATGTTTCATATCATCCAGGAAAGCTGTTTGATTGAGACTGTCTTCCCACATCATGCTTAAGGTTATTTGGAGCAAAGGTCTTGTTTCACATACACTTTACTTACAATTAAGCAAAACACAGGTAGAGAGTTAGAAGTAAATTACCTTCCAATTCAGTCAACAGTGAATTGCGAAATACAAAATTCCAAAACTTCTTAACAAAATCATGTAAGTCCTTAACTTCTAGGATATGGTCTTAGATACAAGAATATGTTTGGGTTGTCATTTGATATGCACTTGAGCAAAAAATGCTAAAATATGTGTTCTAGAGTCTTGGGTATTTGTTCATAGATTACTTGGTGATTGGCTCTGGCATTTTTGATGCAAATGAGTTTGCACCAACATTTACCCTTTCCAGCCTTAAACAAAACAGCAGGACTCATGAGAACAGAAGCAAAAACTTTGCAAATATTAAAGCAATAAAGCATCTGGCAGAGACTTTTAACGTGCTTGAGAAGAAAGTATCCCACTGGACATCACCCTTTTGTTGTTGGGAAAAAAAAAAGAAATAATTATTATTAATTCATTATCTAAGACATTTACTAGATTGTAGACACATTTATTATTTTAGTAGAGAAGGACAAAGATTTGTTTCACTACTCAGTTAGATATCATATAATTTAATAAGAGGTGAAGCCATGCCAACCAAGATTATATTGTCTGTATCCATTTAAAATCAGCTTCCTCCAAGTTGAGATTTTCCTCCTTCACATGAGAGCAGAAATCAAATTCCTTTCATCTGTTCTTATTATTCTCGTCAAAACCAGAATGTGTGGTCTCTGTGATCCACACCAATGGAGTGTACATGTGTTAGAGAAAGCGGGAGGGATGCAAGGGTGTATCCATTAGGGATGCTGGGGATGGACTGCTTATTAGGGACTGTAGTGACAGGACAAGGGGTAACGGCTTCAAACTTAAACAGGGGAAGTTTAGATTGGATATAAGGAAGAAATTCTTTCCTGTTAGGGTGGTGAGGCACTGGAATGGGTTGCCCAGGGAGGTTGTGAAGGCTCCATCCCTGGCAGTGCTCAAGGCCAGGTTGGACAAAGCCTTGGGTGATATGGTTTAGTGCCCCCATGGCAGGGGGGTTGGAACTAGATGATCATAAGGTACTTTCCATCCCTAACTATTCTATGATTCTATGATTTCGGACTCCACAGAGCATTCCTTGAAAAGACAACATTGCATAGAACTGCCTGTTAGTGCAATTAGCCCCAGATTTCTGGGCAATAGCATTTTCAGCTCAAACAGATGTTTGGAGAAAATAGAAAAAAAAAGGAAAAAGAAACATTTTAAACAAGTTATTTAGAGGCAGATAAAAGATTTTAAAACATGAAATTGTATGTAAAATGAATTTCTAACTTAAGTCACAGACAGAAGAACCACAGATGCTCAAAATATTGACTGTTAGAATAGCCAGGGTAAAATCCAGATATTTAGCTCTAGACTCTTTAAGGTATCACACATTACAACTCCAGCCTTGATGAAGTCCTGGCAAGCTAATACCTAAAATAAGGAAGACTGAGGAAACTGGTCTGTGTATTAGTGCAGAAGTAAAAAGAAAGAGTGGGTACCTGTGATGAGAATGAAGGCAAGAATCAAGTATCTGCTTATGATGGAGAGTCAACACAGCAACCAGAAGAGCACAAGAAGCTATAAATATTATTACGCTGACATCTGCAAGAACTCTCTAATCCTTTAAAGACAGATTGAAGTTTCCTGAAATATTAATGGGAAAGTGCCAGAAGTGAAAGTAGAGGCAAGCTGGACTTTTCTGAATTTTTTTTTTTTTTTTAAGACTATTACTATTAGTCATCTGTGGAGTGGTTGATTATTTTCTGCCTATTTCACTATAAACATCATTGATGGACCAAAAGAGGTTCAGCCAAACCAGAGGAGAAGAAAATTCTGGCTTGTCTCTGCCAACTATGTTTTACATGTTACATTGGTTTTTGAGCAGGTTTGGCAAATTGAAGTCTGAGAGCAAGTTTCCTTAGACTGTGATGGCCAAGCGAGTTTTGAATGCATTGGCCAGAAACCCATGGTTACCCTTATATTTAGTAAGAGTGAAATAAAAAATGAGTTATAAATACACTAGTTCTTATTAACCCGTCCACAAAATGAGCCAGAGTTTTCCTTTCCTTCCCTGTTTTTCAGAAGGCTGGAACCCAAAATATTTAGTTCTTTTGGGCCAGAGATGAATATCGATTGCATAAGATATGACAACTGAGATTATTTTACAGAAGAAGCCAGCTCTATGCACATCAACTTACTCATCAGAAATGGCTGGACTGCAAACAGGGCAGTTAAGGCGTTGCATGGAGCGATGTGCTGTGGCCAGGTTTGGGTTCACTTGCAGCATCACATCCCTGACACCCATGCACAGGACACAGCTGTGTAATACTGAATCCAAGTGACACCTCAATACTACCTGTATGAGAGATTTATTTGAGAATTGTATATCTAAAGTGAGCAGCACTATATTTTCATTAGCAAGCAAGCTTCTGACTTTTCCTGAAATGCAAGGGAGAAAATACATTGTACATGCACTGAATTTTACAGAAAATCCAGTGTGAGATAAAGGCTGAATTAGTAGCCAGCTACATGTCTTTTATCACTTTTCTAAGATAAAGAAATACTGTTAATCCAGCCATCACAAAACCTGAAACCTTGTTTTCCCTCTCAGATCTACCATTCCTTTTCCTTCTCAGAACTACCATTATTATTAATATTACTTTGATAGCACTAGTAGAAGTCTTCAGTAGCTGTGGCCTGATGTTGTCCCTAGTGTTACAGTCCATAAAAGAAAGAACCAGAGTCATGCAAATTACTTCAAGCACATCAATAAGGCTGTAAATACTGTTCCTGGTGGCACATCTACAGGAAGGTTGCGTGAGGCAAGATTAAGTGACAGGTCAGTTACTATATCATAGTCTTTCTGTGTCTTCCACAGAAATTGTGTCCCAGATGATTCTTCAAAAATGACTGAAGGACTAAATTTACACTTTTGGAAATCTATTTGGAGAAACTTTCTTTTAAGTTTATTTACAATTGCCAAATCTATCCTTCGCATATGCCAAAAGACACCAAAATTTCACTTCATAACACTGGCAGAACAGGCATTTGAAGGCCATCCAAGAATTAGAGCAATAGCTTAAGGGCTGAGTAATTAGCATACAATCAGGAGGTTCAGACTTCATTGCCTTTTAATTAGCGAGATAACAGGTTTGTGAATAGATACTCCTGGAAGAAGGAGAAATGGCAGGAATGCATGGAATGAATCTGTTAATCTGTAGTTTATAAGGTCAACAAGTCATTTATTTCAGGGGCTATGTCAAAATGTTATTATTCCTTTTCTTTATACATTCAAACTACAGATACATATACTTCTGTATAAATTTAAAGAAATATAAAATAGCAAATATATTTTGCATGCATAATTCATAATAAGGTCCTAATTCTGCAAAGGTTTATACATGTTAAGTAAGTAGTGCACACTATTGGACTGGGACTACAGTTGGCTAAAATATTTGAATGTATTTTAAGTACAATTTGGGATGAAGAGAGTACTGAGAAACATAACTGCTTGAAAACTTCTATTTCAAAGAGAAAATCAGGATTTTCCATAGTAATTTGACTAAAACTGTTATCAAGACCTCTATCACAGTAGTTACTGAATTTTACCTTTCCTGATAGTAATTATGTGTTTGATTAAGCATACTGAAATTACATTTAATTTTGGATCTTACCATATTTCAAAATGAATTCAGAACTAACTTTTTGTGTTTTAGAAGTTCTAGAGGAGGTAATGTATGGAATCAAAATACTTAAAATTTACAGTTTTTCAAGATAAGAATAAAAAAATTGAAATTGGTGAAGAAACGACCACTAACTAAAATAGAAAGGTACGAACCTGAAAAGCTGTACCAGCTGGGCTTAAACCATGACAGCTGTATTTCCTTCTTATAAAGGAAACCCATTTTTATAGTGCTGAGAGTATTTCATTCTTAATTCGTACATGATTATCATGAATGCTGTGAAAAAAATAAAAATGAGAAATTGGTCAATGTGGGTTAAAGCAGAAGCTTGCAATCATGCTAAATGTGCTGCAAAGTTAAAATACTGAATTAATCCATCAAATTATCACCAGTTTTGCCAGAGCATTTGTGGAAGATAGTAGTATCTGATTTCAGATAAAATGCAACTCAACCTTCTGGACAATTGTGTTTAAAAACTCCGAAGCCGCAAAGAGTAAAGAGCTCAGTTCACTTTTTGAGACTGATGTCATTCTAATGCTCTGTTGAAATTCCCCTAATGAACAAAGAAGAAGGTTGGTTTCACACCAGGTCTCTGGTGATAACTCAGTTGCAACTACTGGTGCTGACTCTTCTGACTGGAGAAAATCGGGATCATTCCCAGAGGCCAAATCTGCCAGAACTTAGCACAGAGGGTTGGCATTTGGCACCTGCGCTTATTGTGAAGTGCCAGAACTGTACAGCACATGCTGATAGTGGCCATCTGCTACGTACATTGATATCCCGGTGAAGGTCAGTGTGGGGGACAGCCCTGGTTTTCAGCCCTCTGATTTGAGTGACAGAACTAGACTCATCTTCCATGCCTCTCCAGAACATGAGTCGTATTTATGCTGTGAAATTGGATGCAATATCTATTCGCTTACTCTTCTTTGTGTAGAGACATCTTGGTATGTGCTGGTCTGTTTGCTTGAGCAAGAAAAATAGCATTTTGAGTATGCATTGAGAATAGGAATTCTCTATACTGTTAAACTCATATTTCGTGCTTTGCCTGATATTGGGCATACCAGTGTAGAACGAAAAGTTCCTAACATAAGCAGCCTATCATAGGTTTTTTCCAATTGTGCATGGGTATTTTCAACCCTTACAGTTCTTAGCCTTGTTTTCCCATTCAGGACCCTCATATATCTTTATGCTTAACAACACTAAATGAGGAGACAAAGAACTATTTTCAAATCTGATTTCTGCATTATAGTTTCTATTATTCCACCCCTCCAGTAAAAATATAGATTGACTAAAACTTTTTCTTAAAAAAAACAAAGGGGTCAAGGAAAATATGTTTCCTTTTATTAAAATATTATTTTTAGTTCATCCTACATTTTATGACTCTGTATTTAAATAGAGCCTATAAAGAAATACAAAGAAATGAGATGAAGTAACAAATAGCAGTCTCTAGTTCTCGATTTAGTAGAAACTCTCTGCATGACTTTTCACTATGTTCCCATCTGTGAAAGAGGATCAATACTGGGTATCTAGTGCTGGAATTCTAACATTCAATATCCTGACATGTGCAAAAGGGGACACACCAAACGTATGGAGCCAAGAACTCTTTGCTTGTCCAGTTTGTGTTTAAAGCAGCTAATAGTCCTAATTGGACTCACAAATAATCTAAATGAAATCATTATATGAAAGAATCTGCTCATAGCATAGCACTTTTTTTCTGATGTCACACTCGCCTTCAGGTGTCCTCCTAGCCCAAGGTCAACAGCATCAGCCTTCCTCCATGGTGGGTATGTGTTGGGTGCAGATTGCAGCAAACTGGCACAGTCTCAAAGGCATCTCCAGATGGATTCGTCTGTTGTGGTGGGTCCCTGCCTCCTCATCCTTGGGTTTGCTTGGGCTTACCTGCCCAAAAATATTGCTGGGCATGTGTGGATTACAAAGTAAAAAATAAAAAAATCCCCTCATGTGAAGTGGAAGGCAAGCTGACAAATGAAACATAGAAAATTAAAGATATTTCTATTAAATGAAATAAATAAATGAACCATACAACACAAGAAACCTATCTAGATGCCCTTAGGACCCTGTGATAGAGCTACTCCAATGAGACAAGGGTTTGTACTCATGTCTATGTTAAAGTTAAAATACTTCTCCAGATGTTTAATTCTCCTGATTCTCTTAATAATGTTGAACAGCTATGGCTGAATTTAAATTTAGGAATAACTATCTATAGACTTCATATTCAAAGGAGCAGAAAGAAAAGAAAATCAGTATATTTGGGTGGCTTATAAGTCCCAGCCCCTCCAGAACAGAGAAGCAAAGCATGCCTTTATGTTGAATAACAAAAATCATGTCATCTTTAATTAAGGACTTTCCCTGTGAGGTTTCTGCTTACAAAAAAAAGCAAGAAAATGTCGCTTACACTTTTCAAGACTTACATAATATAAACCCATGGCATATTATCAAATAGTCATCACAAGTCTTCCCACAGTGTTAGCACTGGATTAAAATGGGTTTCTAACAGATTCTTCAATTTAGCAGATCAGATTAATTTAGTAGAGTGGTTCATGGCTTCCAGTATCCTTGTAGGAACTTTCTACTTTCATTAATAGCTGTATTAATTGCTGAATGGAAAAAACTCATTCTTAAATAGGCTCTTTTGCATTATCAAAAACATTCATTAACATTAATTTTCATAGCAAGTGAATTTCAAAAGTTTTATTTCTGAGAAATGAAATTTTAAATTCCCATGTCTATTTGCTACCGATGTTCTTGGGGGCATGGATCCAGCAGGGAAACTGAAAAAAGAGACCATTGACTTACATTATCAACCTAGCAGTCTAACTGAGAAACATAGAATTCATACTGAATTTTAAGTACTACATACATTTAAATCTAGAAAATAAAATAACCTAGTAGCCTAAAATTATTCTAGAACTGATCCTAGAGAATACTGTTCAATTTCTCAATATTTATTTCCTCACCAAGTGACTACTGCCCCTAAAACAGGAATGCAACTTTTAGTTTATTTACAATCACAAACATTGTTTTTTGTTAATTTTAACAGAGATACTTTTTTAATTCTATCATGAATCTTTGGGTGGTGAGGCACTGGAACAGGTTACCCAAGTGTCCTGGGTTCAGCAGTAGCAGTCATGTTTCTCCTTCTTGGTAGCTGGTGCAGTGCAGTGTTTTGACTTTCGGCCTGGGAACAGAACTGATAACAATGATATTTTGGTTTGGCCAAGGACTTTGTGAGCCTCATGCTCTGCCAGGGAGGAAGGGAAGCCAGGAGGAAGCAGAGACAGGACACCTGACCCAAACTGATCAGAGAGGTATTCCATACCACAGCACGTCATGCTCAGGATGTAACTGGGAGTGAGCCAGAAGGGCTGGGAGACTGCAGGGGTCTGCAGGGTTGGAGGAGGTATCGGTCGGTGCTTGGTCGGGCTGGGGGGGGGGCGAGTTATCAGTCGGTTGCTGGTGAGGTGTTGTATTCTCTAGTAGGGGGGAAAGAGAGAATGAGGAGATCAATCTGTAACTGACTGTGAACAATCAATTGAGATAACCCACTGCACCAAGGAAGTTGTGAATGCTCCATCCCTGGCAGTGCTCAAGGCCAGGTTGGACGGAGTCTTGTATGGCATGGTTTAGTGTGTGGTCTCCCTGCCCATGGCAGGGGGGTTGGAACTTGATGATCTTAAGGTCCTTTCCAACCCTGACTATTCTATGAAGCTATGATTCTATGAGCTAAGAATTTGCTATGCCTAAGAAATTAACAGGAAAACCACATCTTCTGATCAAAAGTTATTCCAGTCAAGTGTCTTGTCATTGGCAGTTATTACTCATGGTTACCTATGAAAGAATATGAGGACAAGACAAGTGCAATATAGCCACCAAATACTCTCCTATCCCCTGAAAAGGTACAATTCAGGGGACTTCTCTGAGACATTTGAAAGTTCTTCTGTCATTTTTAATGACTCTTAACTGGGCTTTTCCCTTCATGAAGTTGTCAGGTTTGTTTCAAACCTTTGTTGGCTCTTAATGCTCACAGTATTCTGAGCAAAAACTTCCACATCTTAATTGCTCATTACTTGAAGAATTAGGTCTTTGTATTGAACATGTTCTCTGCTAGTTTCTTTTGATGAATCCTAGCCATATCTCCTAAAGCTATGCAAAATATTCACATAAATTAAGACTTTATGAGACATATTTCTCTCTAATATTTTAGTGAAGGTAGATTACTGAGGCTTTCTCAAATAGGACAAAATAGAAAGTGTCTGCCTTATCTAACAGAGGAACAACTTATAAAAAAAGAAGACTGACATGTCTCTTGATTTTCAAGTTCTTAAACATTTACCAGAAGTATTAAATACTATGTGTGTACACATAGATTATAAATAAAAATCATCATAGTTTATAACTATGACAGCATCTTTACAGGAATTACATTTCATAACATTGCACAGAGCCCTTCTATTTTGTCCTATGTCTCTGAGTCCACAGGGAGATTCATGAACTTTTGGTTTCATAAAAGCTATATGCTAAATCATGCCTTTAAAAATAATGTGATATTGGAAAGGTAACATGTCAGAAAAATTAGGAAGAAAATGGTGACACAATCCCCATAGGAACTTGTGATGCTTTTTTTTTTTTGCTGTAAAGAAGATAAACAGTTTTCTAATAAAATATTCAGGATAAAATGTCAAAATAAATACCAGTGAAAAGCAGACTACTATGTGTAATTACAGAAAGCACATTCAAGATATCTTAAAGCTTTATTATCCAAATATGATCATGGCTTTCATAGCAATTGCTGTTTGAATAGTGATTTTGATATTCATTGGCTAAGTATATGTAATTTTCATCTTGTTTTGAACATATGTTTCACCCACTGCATTACATAAATTTGCTCACTGCTTCTGCTGGAAACTGTCTTTAGTCATTTCTTCATCTAGAACAATCAGACAAGTTTTCCAATTCCAAGATTTCTCCATGCATTGGCTCTAAGCACAGTTATTACAGTAACTGTCCTAAACATCAGCTGCATCCATCTAACTTAGTTCCTTCTGTAAAAGGCAGCAATCAAAATCAGACACATCACAAAGGTAATTGCAGGAGTTTGGCTAAAATTTTGTCTGGTGAGTGAGAAAAAGATTTAATTTTTTTTTCTCCAAAAGTATACAAAGTATCCAATCATGTGTGCTCATTCTCTTTTCCAGCCCCCTTCCCCCCCCCCCCCCCCCCCCATTGTAGTGTAGTTATTTAAAAGTACATTCAGTGCAATTTTGACCTAAATAATGTAAACACTTCATATTTGGGGGACAATGTTTGAATTTGTCCTTCTTACCTTTAGTCTCATCTGCATGGTCTCCGGTTAAACACCACATGCCTGCATTAATATTCCTTCATTTAATATTTATCTAAATAGTTTCCTTCTCTCTCAAACAAAATTTGTTTTTAATTTCTATGTTGAAAACGTATTTTGCAAAAGCTCTAAGGGACTTTAATGAAACAATAAATAATGGCATTGAAAGTTCAAACCAGGCTGAAAATGGGAATCTTGATGTTGAAAGAGGGACATTAGATCCTCATAAAGAAGAACTCAGGAAAACAATCCTTGTTAGGGCCTTCTTGGTGGATTAGAAGATACTATGCCTGAGGAGAGACTTTGGGTAAAAACGCTAGGTTTTTATAATGCATGTATCTCTCATTCACTAAAAAAAAAAAAAAATGAAGAAAGGAACCTGAAATACTTTGCTTCTTCACCAAGCAAAACCCTTCTCCTCACCCAAACATTCAGACAATGCTGTTTAAAACAAAAAGCAAAAGCAAAAGCAAAGCAAAACAAAGAAAAAAAAAAAGCTCCAACCAACAAAAAATTACAGATGTAATTTGATAAATGCAGATATTTCTTGGTTTTCTCTCAAAACCATCACTGTCCGGTTTCTCATTCTAGACTTATTGTTGTGGTGTTGCTTCTCTGAATCATCATCACGACACAGCACTGCCCATCACCTTGTAGCAATGGACTTGAGGAATCTGACAGCTTCAGTCAGAGTCATATCAAAATCAGACAGAAATACAAAATCACCAGAAATACATTCACTATTTCTAGTTCCATCAGCTTGAGTATTTTAGTTTTGTTTGTATAGATTCTATTAAAAGTTAGTGTTATGAAAAAAAAAAGCGCTTCAAATCTTTTGCAAAATTGTTAGAACTTTTGAAAGCAAAGTTTTCTTAACACAATAATATGTAGCTGGATGTAGGTAGAAAACTGTTCTCTTTTCCTCTTTTTCTTCTCTCTATATTTGCTAACATATTTCAAGCACCATTAAAAAAAAAAAAACAAAACTCTTATTTTTGTCCTTCACTATTTACTTTTACTTTCAGCAACTTGAAAATAACACTGATAAACAGTTAAATCCCACTTTTCTTTTAATTTGCTTGAACACAATCTTTTCAAACACATACGCTTGAACGCACGCTTTTCAAACACATGATCCTTTACTTCATTTAAAAAAATACATGCTTTGTTGTATTTTACTCTTTTTTCCCACTATAATTTCAAATTTTGGTGAAACATATTGCAGATGGATTGAGCTAAACAGATCTTTAAATTTGACACATATGCCTAAAGTATTTAACATATCTCTTCTTAAAGATATACATACGCCTAAGAGATTTCGTGGATCATGGTTTAATGACTGTTTTTCTCATTCTCAATGAAGTCTGTCATAATTCTTAACGACAAGGTCAACAGGCACTGCTAATACCCACTGCCTCACTTTTAGTTTTCATCTTTTTCCCTTTTTTTGGAATGACCAGTTGTACAATGCCTGCTGATTCTCTCCAAGAGTACAGATATAATTACATATGCATACAATTACAAATTCACGTTACACTTCTGCTTCATCAGTCAGAAGTCTGATGGGGAAATGCCAGCACTAATATGGCTTAAAACTCAGTTGGTCTGATTTTTGTCAAGTTTTAATCCTATTACTTCATGTGATTATTAATTGGCATTGTATGTAGCAATAACACTTGCATAAATAAATAAATAAAACACAGCTGTGTGTGACCCTCTGAAACACATCAACTCTCCTAAATTGTGTTCTCTGTTATTATGCATGTTATTAACTTTGATTTTTCTTGTTACACCACTCATGATGATTTATTTTATACTACTACCATGCTGCCAATCATCATGAAATGAGTGCTTTCCATATAAAGCAGCTGTGGCAAAGTTTCATCTGACTATTATTATTTACATAGTAATTGTCCCTCCAGGCTGTTACTCTAATCAATACCCAAGACTAAACATATAAAGAAAGCTTTGAATCAAACAGCCTACATTATTGTCGTGGTTTAAGCCGAGCCGGCAACCCAGAACCACGCAGCGGCTCTCTCACTCCCCCCCCCTTCCTGCCCCTGCTCCCGGAGGGATGGGAAGGAGAATTGAAAGAATGTAACTCCCACGGGTTGAGATAAGAACAGTCCAGTAACTAAGGTATAACACAAATCACTACTGCTACCACCAATAATAATAATGATAAGGGAAATAACAAAGGAAGAGAATACAACCACTTGCCACCCGCTGAGTGATACCCAGCCTGACCCAAGCAGAGATCTAGACCTTTCGAGCAACTGCCCCCAGTTTCTATGGAGGGCATGAAGTGCTGTGGTATGGAATACCTGTTTGGCTAGTTTGGGTCAGGTGTCCTGTCTCTGTTTCCTCCTGGCTTCCCCTCCTCCCTGGCAGAGCATGAGACTCAGAAAGTCCTTGGTCAGAGTAAACATTACTGAGCAACAACTAAAAACATTGGCGTTATCAGCATTGTTCCCAGGCTGAAAGTCAAAAAACAGCACTGCAGCAGCTACTAAGAAGGAGAAAAATGACTGCTACTGCTGAACCCAGAACAATTATGAATACCTTATATTTTTTTTTTTCTTACCCCAGTAGCATCCTAATAAAGTGTTCATCCACTTCAGACTTACTGCCATCTCAAATCAATGTTGGTGTCTGGGCAACTCATGGCCCAGCTGGAGCTGTTAACGTAGGACAGACAGTATCTTCTTGGGAATTGGAAAGAGAAAAGTGCGCAGTGCTTACCACATTTTTCTTTGTACACAGTTTTCTCATGCAAATTTAACAGGTCAGTCTTGACTTTGCAAGCACTTACCTTTTCACTCTACCACCATTTGAACTGTTGCATGGTCTCTCCATTTGCAAAATCAGATACAAGTGCTGTCAAGTTTATGAATGCACTGGTAAAGAAGACCTATGTTTTCTGTCATCGGATCATGCAAAACTTAATGGCAAAAATGCTAGAGAAATGATGATAAAAACACTTCCTCAAGTGCATAGACATTCACATATATGGACACATGCATATTATTATATAATTTTTTATCCTGTGTTTTTATAATACTAGGAGCAAGAAAATGTAGTTGGAAGATTATGACACAAAACTTTCATATTTTGTCAAGAGTGTGTGATTAATACATTCAGGTTCAGCTTTTTTGAGGCCTACATACATTAACCACATTGTTCTCTGCATTTCACTGTATGTCTGTGACTTGAACACAGAGGATGACTAATAAATAGCTCTGAGTGTGTGTATGTGAATCAGATGGAAATCCATATGCTTTAGTGATTGTAGAATGTATTTATATTAACAATTACTATATTAAGTATCAACAAGTAGGGTGACTCAGATTAGAGGCTAAAGAATTAGAAGAGTGTTGTTATAAAACATAATATAATTGACTACACAGAGTAAATAACTGGATGACCTTTTTTTTTTTCAGTCATCCAACTCACTTGAGATTCACATTTCACATCCTGGCTCTGGTGCAGAGTACCTGAAAGTTAGTACAGATTTGTAATGCAAAAGTGAAATGGTTTTTGTTTTTTGTTTGAATTTTAATTTTTTTTTTTTTTATGCTATGTGTCAGAGAGTGGGAAAAGACAGGCTTAGGAACAGGTTCATGAACAGGCTGAGAAAGACAAATCTTTTACAGTATAACACTGCATCAAAATGTCACTGCACTTTTGTTTGCTAAGTGGAAAATGATTATGCAAAGAAAAATTCAAATGAGAGCAATATGGTTTTGTTTCCTTGATGGTGTAAGAGAAACAAATAGCCAATCCCCCTGTGCTTCCTATAGGAGGAACATGGGATTGGTTGGAGGACAGCCCTGTGCATCTGCTTTTCCATGCGTCGCTGCTGCAGAACCTGCCGCTGGGTGAGAATCCTGGAAGGCAAAGTGGCGGACTGCGCACCCAAGTCCAATGTCATGTCCAGCAGCTCATGTCCAGCCAGCATATTCTCTGACTATAGCGTTAGCTCTGCCTGCTTGCAAACAGCAAAACTGCTCAGGTGCCCTCCCTTCACAGAGTACATGATGTAGGCACTGCCACATCCAAAAATTGATGATCTTATAAACTTTCTTACTGAGCTAATTTATTTCAGTAAAACGAGGATGTAGTGGGGAAATGTCTACCTGTTATTTGTTCTCATTCTGTTTAAATAAAGGCTTCAAAGTTAAAGCATTACTAACTTGTATTATCACTATGGATTTTTAATGTAAACTGGATAATAGCATAAATCTAACATTGTATGATCAACCATCTTTACATGCAAGTCATTAGAAGGGACTTTAAGGGTATCATATTTTCATTTAGAACCAAATATTTTTGTGCTTATGTGATCTGCTCCATAAATGTCTCTGTGGTTTTAGGTTGGAAAAAGGACTAGTTGCACACTTTACTTCGATCTCAGAACCTGACTCCTAGCATTTATACAAGACAGCTATCCCTGATTTTGTCAATTATGTATACTGGGTTTTGGAGTGGTTCCAGTTGGGAAGTTGTTCTCCTAAGGAGCATTAATGAGAGCCCAATTATACTGCTGTGGGGCAAGTGTGGATAATGGAGTCACGCAGGCTCCAGCTTCAGGAGGTGTGCAGAATTTAATTGTCTGACAAAATCTTTTCACTCTTTGAGGAACAGACAAGAAGGTTTGTGTGGTTCAGGTAAACATTTCCATCCTATCAACTCTATGCACAATTCAAAGGATAACAGAACTAAAAAAAAAGACTTAAGTTGAATACCTATGTAAATGAGGAAGTATCATATACATTTTGAGATTTCATGCTGATAAACTTTCAAACTGACCTAAATCATAGCCAATTTAATAATGGCCATATTCTCATTGCAGTCCATTTCTTGAATGTGTCAATCCTTTCTTCATTTTTAAGTGAAACTAGATACAAAAACCTTTATCTTCTCCAAATATATTATTTAATGCACTTAGCTGTGAAACAAGTGGTAATTTGCAATGATCCATGGAGCTGGTTCACTGTTCTGCATCTGTCTCCTTACAGTTTTGCATATTTATTCTCACATTTACAGTGCCCCTTTTCTAGCGGAACCTGCAATGTTTGGTTAGAGAAAATTACTTCCAATAAACAATTGGATTTTCAGGGACTCCAAGATGGAAGTTGGAAAAGACAGAAGTCCAAACAAAAACAATATATAATTGCTTTACTAAAAAAAACAGACCAGTATTTTTATTAAGTTTTTGTTTTTTTTTTAATCTTGTTTTTACTATAACTAAAGATGCTCAGAGCTTCAGAACTTACTTAGCTCACTTTGTGATCTTATCCTGTGCCCCCTCCACCCTCCTCAGTTTTACTTTATTCTTCTAAACTTCAGCAGCTCTCAGGTTGGGATAACTTTAAATAACATTATGCTCAAACTAAGAAATACAAATTTATCCTGTGGAAAATTACTTGGCAAAAGCACCATAGGGACTCTTCAAGCAAAATTAAAAAAAAAAAAATGGATTTAGCTCTGAAGCTGTACTTCTGCAACTTCAAAACACAGAAATTGAAATGCTTTCTCCCTCACATTACCCACTATTATTCCAATGCTAAATAGTGAATTTAACAATCTGATTGTCGTCATTCTGCTCCAAAAGCATCTCACATGATACAGGAATGCGCAAAATATTAGATATGGGTGAGCAAAGTCTTGTTAAACTCCTATCCTGAGATTTCAAGGAGCCTGGTACAAAAGCAAATATTCACAGTAACATTTTTGATTATTTCAGATCTTTCATGAGGAAAAATGAAATAACTGTAGAAGAATTAATATAGCAAATTTAACATATTAGCCAGAAGTTGGTAATTGAAAAATTAATAACATTTCAAACAATGTAAGATAATAATCTATTTTATTAGTCTTATGCACCAGGTGGGTAATGGCACTGGGGACAACAGAGATCTCAAAATCCCAGGGCCAATTATCTGAGCTCCTAATCTTTCCTTATCTGCTGCACAGCATTACAAGGCTGTCTCTATAGCTGCTATAACCAATGCTTTGAAAGACGTCAGAGGGATTCTCAAGCAAAATGGCCTGGGAAGATAATCTATTGATAGGTTCCAGACTCAGATATAGATTTTTTTGTATCATTGGCAAGTCAAGAGAGAAAGCACTTCTTAGTGGTCTGTGTAAGTACATGGAGCCTTAAGAAAAAAAAGAAAAGAAAAAAGAAAACATTGTTCTGGTGCTGCACGGAGTTTATTTCATGTGGCAGGTTTTAATTTCACCCACAACTTTTCTGAAACATATGAGAGTCTGATTCATTAAAAAATAATTTTTTTAGATTTGTCTAATATCAAATTAATATGCCGTTATTATAAAAAAAGTCTCATAAACTAAGAAATCATTGCATGGCATTTAAATATAACATGCAGATATTTAAATACTAGCATAGCAACAGAAAGCTGACTCTTGAGGGAACAAACCTGGGCATCTCTGACAGTTCTGACATATGCTAGAGTATCCAGAGGAAAAGTCAGCAATACTGATCCTAACGTACTGGTATACTGTACTAAGTCTAGAACATAGCAAGAGACTCCATTACCCAGAGAGGAGGAAGATACGTCTACAGAATGGACAATTTTGGCTAATACTTCATTATCATTTTGATAGAAATCTACAGATCTCATGCTTTTAAAAAAGGCATTCAACATTCAAAGCACTTTTGTACCTCTTAAAATCCACATCATGCTGTACTCTGGTGATGAGGATAATGAAAAACAATGCCAAAACCGCTGCACTTTTAGCCTTCACGTAGGGAGAGAGCAGAGCAGGGTGGTGGGAATCAATTTTAATTTTCTAAATCATAGAATCAAACTTGTGAAAGAATGTTAAGCAAGAGTAATTTCTTTGTACTGTATTCAGGACTGTTTTACAGAAAATGAAAAGTTAAGACAGTTTTCTTTCTGTATTTGTTTTAAATCAGGGAATCTGAGCCAGAGATATTCACAATTCTAGCATTGGTTCCCTTCATTTCCTGGCCTGGGGCCTGTATCTGAAACACTTTAAGGCTTCTCTTAGCAAAAGCAGGTGAGATCAAAGGAAACTGTTAGTTGACAGGAAAGGCCTTCTTGGCAGCAGGGCTCAGCCACACTAGGCAAGAGTGACAGGCTATAGGAAAAGAGGGAGAGCAGAAGAAGAGAGTGGATGCAGAATTTTGTGGCACATTTTAAGTTTTGTACAGTTTAGTCATTAACTACTTGCATCTCATTTGTTGTTTTTTTTCAAGTATTACAGACGTGAGATTGAAAAAAAAAAAGTGTTTACTATCAAAGCGCCTGAAATAGTTTTGTGTACTAACAAAACCATCACAACATTTTATTGAATTTTCTTAGACTCAGACCCATACCCAAACCGTACTCATGCCTATCCCCATATCAATCCCTTTTCCATCATTTACCCGAGAACTTCAAGAACAGGGTAGTGGAGTGATTCTTTTCCAGTGAACTAAAAGAAAAACTATCCAATTTCTTGAACAGAAGTGTTCAACACAAGAAGGCATATGCCCATGGAGTCCTAATAGAGGAAGCTGACCTAGAAGGAGAGAATTCAAGGGAATAATTCATTCATTAAAATACTGACTCAATTTAAAGTGTAAATTTGATTTTACAATTCCATATGTGTTACTTAAAATTTAATAATTGCTCTGTATATGGATATAATTTTCACTCACTTGATAACAAACCCAATTGTGTCTATGGGATGTTTTTCTGAGTACTTACAGGAATGTCTACCAAAATTGTGAAGTAGTGAAACAGAATTTATTTAGGTTTGACTGAACACAGCATTTGCGTATGCATCTGTATGCATCTTGCTCTGTTTATACTACTTAAAAGGTCTAAGACTGTAGATTTATCCCTTGGTATTCATATTGCAAAATGCAGCTTCTATTTGCACCTGAATAAATGTGAGACAATGAGATGATTATTTCTGACAGTCAGTAAAGTCAGAAGCAAACATACTGACAGAAATCCATGTGCAGTGTTAAGAAATGAAGAGAAGCAAAGAGTAACCTGCCTCAGTTATAAAGAGATAGCCAGTCAGGGTATATTTACAAAATGATAAGCAAAGGACTCTAAATTCAAATGTTACATCAAATAACCACATGACCAAATATGTCATATAAATCAAACACCAGTAGGAAATAAAAATTACCTTTGGAACCAGGACTTTTAAAGTATTCATACAACTGTTTCATGAAGACGTTGAAAGATAACACTTACTTAACACTGGGTATGTATAAGTACACAGCGTATGACATTTTATTCTAATTATGCTTTTATAAACTGATAAAAATAAAAGTATCCTTCTACTTCTGCATGTGTATTCCTCTACTTACAACAGCTTGTTTAGAAATACTGATTCTATAAATGCGAAGTTAACTCTCTCATCAATGTAATATGCTTTGTGTTTATGAAAAATGCTTCTTCTCACTGCAGTATTACCAGCTATGAAAATTTTGAAACAGTGAGAAAATGTAGCTAGAAAGCAGAAACTCTTTTTGGACTTAGAAAAAAATATAAAGAGAAAAAAAAGAAGTTAAACTCATGCTGTGTTTGTTTCCATCTCTGATAGCTTGTAATGCATTTTAACCACAGGAATCTTCTCATTATATATTAATTATGGTCTACAGATAACATCATTATCATTATGTAATGAAAAATGCGAGTAAATTACTTTTAACATCATGTGCAGTAGAAATTCAACAAAAGCCATGCAATTTTTATATCAGCATTTCTCATTATCAGATTTGCTTCTACCTGCTGTGGACATTATTTGGCATTTCTTTTTCCTTCATGACAAATAAATAGAAATTTACAGAAAGGTCTCTCAAAATAGTTATTCATCTCTTCTATGTGTATTAAAGAATACCATGTCAGCTCTCCACACATGATCTCTTACTGCCTCTGCTGTCCTTTCTCCTGTAAGAGCCTTGGAATTTCTATTTGTGCTCAATTGCTCTACTTGAGTGGATAAAACAGCTTGGCAGGCAGGGCTCAGTTAAGCATTTCTAGAGCATTTGCTAAATAAAACTCCTTCTCTTCAGGAAGTCTGCAAAAAGACCACTGAGTGCAATTCTTCCAGCTAATAAATTCTAAGTGCGTATTGATACACCTATGTACGATTTCTGAAAAACCCTTGCTTAGAAATTTATCTTGATTTCATAGCTTTAAGAATCACTTAAGTTTTCCTGATTGAAAAGGGCACAATGCATTTAACAGGAGACTGAAAACTCAACTTTGTTGAGATGAACATCTCCCAGCAGATGCAGGAATAAAATGGGTTCCAGAACAAATATTGGTCAAATATCATGTTTAAGTGATATATTTGTGAAATATACTGTAATGGGTTACTACAACAAAAGAGAATAGGTGGATCTGGAAGCACAAAAGCACGATGCAGGGATGCGTTTCTAAACACAAGGCTCATTCAGAGAAGAGGCATGGAGGCACTTCTGTTGATCTGTACATTCCAGGAGTGTCCACTGGTCCCTAATCAATTCTAGAAACTGGTCCATAAGCAAAATAAAACTTTTCACAAATGTCTGTGGCGACACACAAGATAAGAAGAATACGGGAAAGATTTGCATTGGATGGGACTAGATGATTCAGAGCATCCTGCACTCCTGTGTTCTTCTAACCTAGAAAAAGCAAAGGTGTTTGCTGCAGCAAACAATCAGTATTTCCATGATTCATGGTGTACTACCTTACATATAATCTGAGGACATAAACTGATCATGACACTTTAGCTTAGATTATATGCTTTTATAAGAAGCTGATCTCATGGATTACATACTTTGCTTTCTTTAACCTGGCTAAAAGAAGATCCTTTTAATTTGTATCCTGACATATTCATTTATGCATGTGCATGGGCATACTATACAATGTACAGAGTATTCATTAGAGAAACAAACATTCCTCAACAATCACAAGAGGAAAATCAAGGGTCTGCTTGACCTAAAAAGTAAAATTTCTAATAAACAGTATTTAACCAACAAATCCCAGGTAAAGAATGTTTATTATTATACTTCTAAATAAATATTATTATTTAGTATGAATATTATACTTCTAAAAAACTCCTTTCTCATACACCTGTCAAGTTACCTCTCTCTCCTACAACTGCATCACTGCAAAAGGTTAAAGAAGATATTAACTAATAAAACAATTAATTTCCTAAAAAAACCAATTAATTTCCTAAAAATAAATTAAAGTGTTACTGCATTAACACAAACATGGGGACAGACTGTGCAAAAACTGTGTTCCTTTGCCATAAGCCATGAGTGATGTGAAAGACTCCTACATGGCAGAAAAATTTGCTAAGCTGTTTTCTGGCCTTGTTGGAATCTAGGGGGGATTTGCCATTAACTGGTTTTAGGCCAGCATGCCCTTTAAAATATTTTAAAGATCATGTGTCATGCAGAAAGCTCACACTGACATGACACAGCATTATCCAGCATATCTCACCTCTTCACTGCCTCCATAGTCAAGCACTCCAAGACAGAAAGTACTTGGTAAAGCGTGGTGGTGAAAAATGTAGAAGATCTGACTCAAAGCACAGAAAACAAACTGACCATGGGAAGTATTCCTCATCGTCATTACTTTTCAGAATAAAATTAAGGATGACTCTACTCTGCTCTCATGAGACGACACTTGGAGTATTGTGTACAGTTCTCATGTCCTCAACATAAAAAGGACATGGAACTGTTGGAACAAGTCCATAGGAGGGCCACAAGGATGATCAGGGGACTGGAACACCTCCCATATGAAGATAGGCTGAGAAAGTTGGGGCCGTTCAGCCTGGAGAAGAGAAGGCTGCGTGGAGACCTCGTAGCAGCCTTCCAGTATCTGAAGGGGGCATACAAGGATGCTGGGGATAGACTATTCATTAGGGACTATAGTGACAGGACAAGGGGGAACGGGTTATAAACAGGGGAAGTTTAGATTGGATATAAGGAAGAAATTCTTTCCTGTGTGGGTGGTGAGGCACTGGAATGGTTTGCCCAGGGAGGTTGTGAATGCTCCAGCCCTGGCAGTGTTCAAGACCAGGTTGGACGAGGCCTTGGGTGATATGATTTAGCGTAAGGTGTCCCTGCCCATGGCAGGGGGGTTGGAACTAGATCATCTAAGGGTCCTTTCCAAACCTAACTATTCTATGATTCTATGATTCTATGAAACATTTGCCTGGCTCTACTGCAGATAGTTTGATAAAATATAGTTTTAGGAGAACCTAATCACATGACTAGAGTCATTATAACATAAATTGATTCAGGAGAGATTTAATTAATTTAATGCATCTGGCTGCAATTATTATTCTGCATTTATTATGTAGGACTTTTGTTAGCTTAATGGCTTTATACATTTATCAGATAGTCACTGAAGAAAATTTCAGTTACTCATAACGAATCTGAATAAATCAGCAATGACTTTTTTTTTAAAACAGTTTTATTATAATGATTTGTTATTTTGGTTCTACCAGTCATGACAAATTTCTGCAGCTTCATTGAGAAAAAGCTTTATCCAATATCCACAGATTCAGTTGATTGAATTGCACTGTAAATATTTTTTAGAATATATTTATAATACAATTCCCCCAGTGTAATTCACAATTGCTTCCTTTTTATTTGTTTTTAAATAAATAATTTTAACATTTAGAATAACCACTCATGACTTTGACAAACATTTTTATTTTGCTTTTCTCAGTGCTCTAAAGGATCCCTGCATTTCTTTCCTAGTCCTCTGACCACATGGTGAAACCCTGCAAATTTCATCATTGACCGTCTTTGACATTTTATAATTTGGTTTGGTTTCCAATCAAAACAAAAATACATAAAATTACTCTGTAAAAGGAAATTATGCATTTTAAAACCTTGCCTTAAAAAAGGGAGAAATTTATAGAAAAATATTAATTTACAATTGGTGTTATTTATTGCAGTAGTAGCATTCACACTAAAAAAAATTGAAGTAGACAATTTTGATCTGTTCAATTGAACTTAGGTGAACTTAGTCCAACTGCATTTTATGGGAATGTCATTTGGTAAACTTATTTCCTTCTATTCATCAAACATGTCCTAAACAGTACAGTTTGCATGAGTTTGTTAAAAAGTGTTTTCTACTATTTGCAGGACTGTCTGACATCCTCCCGGGTGTCTTTGTGACTTGCTTATGGAAACCAAATAAGAGCTAGAGAGTCCTCAAGTTTTAAAGCTATGAGGGGAGGCACGGACAAGTGCCCTCTGTTTGGCTGGTTTGCAATCACTGCCTACCAAAACTAAACCTGTCTTTCTGTGGATTAACCTTGCCAGCTCATCACCAGCTTGGATTTACTGCTATAGCACAGAGAGATAAACTGAAGTTTTCAGAGCTCATAGAGCTCCAGTGCACTTTGCATCAAGTACATACTCTGTTTTGACTCAAATTTCTGTTAAACTTACTATCAAAAAATAGCTTAAAATGGGTTTTTGTAAAATGGTAAGTAAGGGTTCTGAGTTAATTCTTCCTCTTAAACATGGTTTGGGGGTTTAAGTTTACTTGGAG